AATGTTCATTGTGCAAAGTGTGTGCTCACTTAGCTCTATAAATATACGGTGACGCTGTGTTAACTTTGAATAACACATCCAATGCATGGGAAACTAAAGAACACAAATTACCTCCTTCATAAAATAAGTAAATATTCACTAAACATACATTTTCCAAAGTGCACATGCTCTGTTCCTTTAGTAAATCAACCGCACTAAACACCAGATGTAGACACTTCATGCATGAGCAAGGCCCTCCTAACCCTCTTTTATGGAATTGTATTGTAACTGTACTGTTTCCTTTTATTCTAAATCACTGCACAAACTGTTGGTGCTATATTATAAACCCTGTATACTACTAATAATAATAATAATAATCCAGTGTCCATGCCAGAGGCGTATCTACAACAAATTGCGCCCCTGACGTCCTGCTAGCTCCTGGCAACTAGCACTGGTTGCCAGGAGCTGGGTGGGCCACCAGCCAGAGTGTCCCACGTAGCTAAGAGCAAGGTGGGGAGATGTGTAACGGCCATACACATCTACCTGCCTGGCTCTTAGCAACCTGTGATGCTCTGACATCACTGGTAGCTAGCAGCTGGGTGGGACGCCAGCCAGGGCATCTCTGGTTGCTAAGAGCCAGTCAAGGAGATGTGTATGGGAGAGGGGTGGGGAAAGAAAAAAGTAAACTGTCTCCATGGGTCGGCAAACTTTCACTGACCTATGGAGCTGCAACTCCCCCTCTCCCAAAGTGGTACCCAGGGCATGTGACATATGTGCCCTGGATACACCACTGATCTGTGGGCACACTGACATTCACCACAGGTGGAGGGGATGGGCAATACCAGTGAATATGGGCAGCAATATTCCATTCAATATAATTAAAATGCTGTGGCATCATCTTAAACAGATTGCTTCAGCAAAATCTTAATTCCAGAACTGAAACAAAAGTAATAAAAGCTGAGCATTGTAAGTGTTGGTTATGTGTTTAGATGAAACACTGAGATCTCGAGGAATGCTGAATTAAGTTTACTTGCTTAGAAGAACATTACATGCATGCAACCAGCATTGTGCAGTAAACAGGGATAGAAAAAAGAAAACCTATGATTCCTGTGTATCATAGGGTTCTATTCACAAAGCTGCCGAGGGCAGCCGAGTGAATGACCGATCAGAAGTGAAGTGAGCCGAACACTGTTCGGCTATTCACTTCAGTCTGGTACGGCTGATTTCAGCCGTATATCGGCTGAAATCAGCCGTACATCGGCTTGCTTCGTGTGGCTTAGAAACAGCCGAACGTGCTCAGCATGTTCGGCTGATCCGAAGTGCAGAAGGAGTACGACTCAGCCGATCCAACATCTGGATCGGCTGAGCCGAACCTCCGGCAGGCTTCACACTGCTGTTCGGGCTATTCTGAAAGATCCCGAACAGCAGTGAGAGAATAGCCGAATGCCGCCGAGCGGCATTTGGCAGTTTCCTATTGTCCGGCGGCTCTGCTGCTGTTGGGTCCTGGTGCCGAAGCTAGCCGAACGATCGGCCCGAAGCTACGGCCAGATCCTTCGGCAGCTTTGTGAATAGACCCCATAATTAGCATGCACATAGAGTTCTAGCATTGCAGTACAGCGCCATCTACAGCTCAAAAGACAAATTACACAAGTATATCAGTAAGCACCCCTGTAAATGTTAAAATCTTTGTCACGACACCTATAACTGGCACATCTGCTGGACAGCATGCTCTTGGAAGTGGAAAAATAACACGTTTCTGGACAAGCAGGTACTAAAATTTTGTTATGGGGGAAATAAAGCTGCTAGGAACAGCCTGCATTATATATGTCAGTTTCAATTTTGCCCATACAATAGTTCTAGTTTAAGTGAGACCTCTAAAGCCAGGTGGGCTGACATGGTTGTGGATGTGCTGACAAATGTTAAATGTTCATATTTCTTTACATATTCCTCTGTTTTTCATATGGGGGGCATGTCACAATATAAGATGCTTTGGACCAGGGCTGGTGGTAGTTTTTGAGCCACATTTTACAGTTTAGGTTAAAATGTAATAAATTGCAGCTTATCTCTAAGATTTTAGTTTTTTTCCTTTATTTTCAGCTGGTAATTCTGTCAGTAACACACTTCCTGTCCTAGGGTGACAACGCTCACTCGCTGTACTGTTTCTATGGCGAAGCAGTATTTTCATCTAGTACAGGGCAACAGAACTTCTCCCTCTCCTTTTCTCTTTTCTACTCTACACATAGTGGGGATGTGTTTTGTAGTGCAGAGAGAGAGAGCTGAAAAGAATGTAACTGATAACAGAACTGAGCAAAATTTGGTTGGCTGAATGTTCGCTGAACAATTATAAACATTTCCAAATCCTGAACATAGTGGGGAACCATACTGCGGTCTATGTGACCCAAATCTTGTAATTTTAATTCCCCCCTCCCAAAAAAAGTAACCTAAAAAATTAAGCAACAGTACACAAATGACCATAAAATACACAAAACAAAAGGTAAAACAAAAAAATGCAAAGAACACTAAATGAAATAAACTGATTGACTAAACTAAGCAAAACACATGTTTTAAATATATGTTTATATATATGTTTTCTTTATATAGTTACAGACTTTATTTCACAAATAAACATCTAATACTTGGTGGTCCTAAGATAACCGGTTTGTAGAGCACTTTCTAATAACAAAGTGCTGTAGACTAAAAAATCCATATGATTGGGGGACAGCTCCTTTCTCTGTCACATTAAACTCTGTGTGTGTGCGTGTGTGTGTGTGTATAATCTGATATTCTGGCCTATTCACAGTACAGCCTATATATTGTAGCAAGTCAATAAAAGTAGTAAACATAAAATATATATTCATAAAGTGAGAAGCTGATTGGTTGTCTTGTGCAACTGCTCCAGATTTTGTCTTCTCCAGTTTTGATAAATTCCCGGCCGAAATTTTTAGCTCACCTCATGGTAAAAAAATACCCTTTCTTTTATTGTAAAAAGGCCACACAGGGAAGGGCCGAATGTTAACAGAGTTGGCAAGTGGACCTGTTTCATTTTCTCGTTTCTTTTTCTTCAACAAACATTATACTATGGGGTCTATTCACAAACCTGCCGAAGGATCTAGCCGTAGCTTCGGCTGCTCCTTTGGCTAGCTTCGGCCCCAGGACCCCTTCGGTTCACAAATAAACACATCAGCGCCAGCAACATGAGTCAGCAGCATAAGTCAGAGATGAAAGGGAGATCTTCAATGTAGTACACTTTCAGGGCTGCTCTCGAAGGTTAGGGGAACCACAGAACTGAAATACAAAACACAGAGAGTGCCTCCATCGTGTAGAACTTTTTAATAAAAGAGAATAAAAACAGTTGAAATATACTCACAAAGGGAGATAAATAGCAGGCATACACAGATCAGGTGAAAGCAGACTTAGCCAGCCGGCTATCTGTCCTTCTTGGTTGACGCGTTTTCGAGGTCACGCCTCCTTCATCAGAACCATTCTTTGCTATCTGCATTGGTCTCCTTGCTATCTGCATTGACCCCCTTCATCAGAACCATTGTTTGCTATCTGCATTGGTTCTGATGAAGGAGGCATGACCTCGGAAACGCGTCAACCAAGAAGGACAGATAGCCGGCTGGCTAAGTCTGCTTTCACCTGATCTGTGTATGCCTGTTATTTATCTCCCTTTGTGAGTCTATTTTCAACTGTTTTTATTCTCTTTTATTAAAAAGTTTTACACGATGGAGGCACTCTCTGTGTTTTGTATTTCATTCCCCTTCGGTTCAGTAGAACCGAAGGGGTTGCTGTACGGGCTATTCACTATAGCTCGTACAGCTCCCGAAGTTGGCCGAGTGGCTCAGTCGAGCCAAAGACATATGCCTTGGCTCGACTGAGCCGATGAGAAAGGCGAAGCTGGCCGAACAGCATAGGAATGCATAGCTACATTCCTATTGGATATTTCACTTTGCAATAGCCAATAGCAAACTAGCTATTGCACCCAACCACTGCTGCTGTCAATCAGCAGAGGGGACCTGAAGTTCTCCATCAGGTCCTCTTCTAGTGATTGGCAGCAGCAGAGGGCGGTGCAATAGCCAGCTTGCTATTGGATATTGCAATTTGAAATAGCCAATAGATATCTAGCTATTCATTCCTATGCTAATTTTTTTTCCTGTTTTTTATTCTGATGGCAGCATTTTCTTTTTTTTATTCTGACGGCAGCATTTTCTTTTTTTTATTCTGACGGCAGCAGCTGTCAGAATACTAAAAAAAAAACTTGCAGATAACAAAGAAGCTATTGCTTCCTCTGCTATCTGCCATCATTTCAGGGGGGTGCTCTTTCCCCCCTGCATTACAATGAGAGCTTAGCAGAGCTGGAGGTGATATGAAAGCCGACTCTGCTGAGCTCTCATGGTACTGACAGTTCAGTGTCCCCTGGTTACGGACGCTGATCTGTCAGTACCATGAGAGCTTAGCAGAGTCGGCATTCATACCACCTCCGGCTCTGCTAATCGTTTTCTTTTTTTTTTTTTCTACTTTTTAAACGTTTTCTATTCTGCTCGGGACCACAGAGGTACCGAGCAGAATAGCCGAGCCGAATGCCGCTCGGCGGCATTCGGCTATTCACTCACTGCTGTTCAGCCCCTATGAGAATAGGCCGAACAGCAGCGAGTAGCCTGCCGGAGGTTCGGCTCAGCCGTTCTAAATGTTGGATCAGCTGAGTCGAACTACTTCTGCACTTCGGGTCAGCCGAACATGCTGAGCATGTTTGGCCGACCCGAACCCAGCCGCAGCAAGCCGATGTACGGCTGATTTCAGTCGGTGTACGGCTGAAATCAGCCGTACAAGCCCGAAGGGAATAGCCGAACAGCGTTCGGCTCACTTCACTTCGGGTCGGTTATTCACACGGCTGCCCTCGGCAGCTTTGTGAATAACCCCCTAAAATATAGAAGGGTCAGTCCTATTACATTTGGGTGAACTCTCTGAAATCCCAGTCCATGTCACAAACCCTCCAGGAATGTGTAGAGGAGACACCTGCATTTCACTAGATTAAACCTCGGGGTAGGCAGTGGCAATGTACCGCTTCCCTTTTCCATAAGTGTTCTTGGTCCATTCGTAGGTTTGAATTTTCATTGTATGTCCATCCATAGATATTACACACCTGCAAATAAAAATATTGTGAGAGTATTTTCTTTAGTTTGTGCTGGGGCAAATCAAGAATTAAGGTCTATTCATTAAAGAACTCCGTGCAGAAAAAACATACCCCTTGCAGCTTGCAGTGGGGCTACCCCCCACCACCACTGAAAGGGTTAAGTTCTCATTTTAGTCTACAGTGCAAGGGTTACTTTTTCTTCTTTGAAGTTTATGTAAACCCTAACTGGATTACTTTTTTTTGTTTAGGCAATCTTCATCAAACATGATTGCATTTTTCCCCATTAAATAGCACTGTTGATCTCCTCCAGCCTCTTTCAGCGACTTCCTGTCTACATGTACTCACTGTAGCATTGGCTACAAATTATTGCTTAGGACTGGCTTCCTGAACAGCAGACCGTGCCTGCACAGTGTCAGGTACAGTCGTTTATAGTCTTAATCAGGGGTGCATGTGACAGAGTGACCACACAGGAGCGCAATCCAGAGACAGTTGTCACCGCATAACGGGAAGTACCTGTACAAAGACCATTATGGCAGGATCACCAAGTGTTATCTTAAAGAAAGATGCAGGTTTAAACAGTTTGATAACACACTCTGAAGTTACACATTAAATTTTATATGTCAGTTTAATGAAGGGGTTTAGATCTACATGTGAACTGTGAACTGAATCAGAGTCTCAGGTTTTCAGACTGAATTCCCCAATTGTTTTCCAAGTTATTTATAAAGCAGCCATCCACTAGAATAATAGGGAAGAGGCTTTTTGATGGTTGAACACACAGTAGCTAAAATTTTGGGAAAAAATGGCAAACTGAGCTGGTGAATTGTAACAAAACTGGGAGAGGGAGAGGTGTGCATCGGTGATGCATTGAAGGGGCTTCTGAGTTTCTTGAGAGTTGGTTCTGATCTGCCTCTCCTGTCTCGGCCTTTAGTGGTCGCCTCATGCAGTGTGCAGGACTGAGCTGTCAAACTGATAGCCCATTCCTTCAGATTACATAGGGAGATCGGGGCACTCCCTACTTAATGCAGCAACACTTTGCTACCTTGTCAGTGTGGCAGCGGTCAGCTCTGTAGCAGAAGCTCTGTGTGCTGCTGATAAACAGAGCACAGCTCCCGAATGTCACAGAGCTCTGAAGATTACCCATGGAGACCAGCGTTTATCCTGTGCAATCTGTGGGACTGAGCTATAAATTTGACAGCTTGGGTCTCTCTTTGCAATAATTTATGAATGAAAGCTACTCTTGTAGCTTTGATTGATAAATGACTGTATGTGTAAATAAAGAAAATAAAAAAATCCCTTCTTGCTGATTTGTATGTCCATTCATGCTCCTTTGTACTAGAAACATGATTCTAGTGCCTTTATTAAAGCAACATAATGCAGAATAAAATTTGTAGTTAACCCTAATTCGTTTTTTAACCCTAAATTTGGAAAATAAATGTTAGCGCTAATGATTTTTTCGAACTCCTTAATTCCCTTCTTGTAGCTTTTTTTTTTTCTTCTTCTTTTTTGCTGTTTGTATACAAATGTTTAGAATTTGCGTTCATATTGCTGAAATAAAGAGCTTGGGGAAGGGGGGGACCTTGGCATCTTCGCCTTGGGTGCCAGAGGACCCTGTGACAGCACTGAAGGTCATTATTAGAAATGCTATGAATACTTGTTATGCATGTTAAAAAAGTATTCATGGATGGAAATTGAGGCAAATGTGAGTCAATTATGTGGAAGGCCAGGGTACCATTGTAATACTCTTCTGCTTTTTTTTTACATATACAGGTGAAACTCGATTAATTAGAATATCGTGCAAAGTTTGTTTATTTCACTAATGCAACTTAAAAGGTGAAACTAATATATGAGATAGACTCATTACATGCAAAGCAAGATAATTCAAGCCGTGATTTGTCATAATTGTGATGATTATGGCTTACAGCTCATGAAAACCCCAAGAACCCCAAATCCACAAACTCAAAAAAGTAGATTATTATATGTAATCAATAAAACAAGGATTGTACATAGAACAATATCGGACCTCTGAAAAGTACAAGCATGCATATGTACTCAGTACTTGGTTTGGGCCCCTTTTGCAGCACTTACTGCAATTACTTTTGCACGATATTCTAATTATTCGAGTTTCACCTGTATGCACCATTTCTTCAGTTTTCACCAACTGAATTGAATTTCTATCAGATCAGCTTTTAGAAGCAGCAAAAAGATACTTACTTTTTACCAGGACGGGAAATGAAGCACAAGGTATACATTGCAAAGTCAAACTCAGGGCTTGATCCAATAAACTGCGAGCCGACCTCCTTTAGATAACCATCCCAATGAAACTGTTTCCCCAGCACATCAGGATAGCTTGTCCACTAAAAAGGTAAAGAGTACAATATGTAAGTTTAAAATCTCTTTTAAAAACCAATGGCATATTTATTATGCAGCAAATGAATAGAGACCAAGCTGGAACTTTAGGTGTAGTTTTAAACAACAGCTGCCTACTAAATTCATCCACATCATCATTACCATCATCGAGTCATCCCCAAATAAAGTCACATATGCTGCCAATTACTCAATATTTGGATTTTTCAATCTTCAATGCCAAAGCCAGTTCTCAGTAACATTCACCAAAACAGGAAATGTTATAATGCAAGAGTCTTTTAGCAGTCTCTATTGGTAGATGATAAATCATTGATTTATTTTTCAAGGGAAACTATAATGGTTTTGGATCAGTTTTACTTTAGTTGTTTTTGTTTTAAGTCTATGAGGTTGATTCCTAATGGATAGCTGATAATGATATCCATTGTCTGTTATACTCTATTTTGCTCATAGCGGCTCACATTTTATGGCCCATTTAAAAAAAAGAAGGCCACAGTGTGTAATTGGCAGAGCCGCACATACAGCGCCTATCACAGCAGAGAGGGCTCTGTGATGGAAGGAGAGCTGGTCATGTGGATTTGGCACATGACCAGCTCTCATAGAGAGAGAGAGAGAGAGAGAGAGAGAGAGAGAGAGAGAGATTGAGAGAGAGAAAAAGAGAGAGATGAAAGGATGAAAGGATTCCCAAAGCACTATAGGTTAGCTATAAAGACAACACAGTAGAGGAAGGTTTCTTTGAGCCAGATCTCCATACCATAATTATGATAAGGCAAATGTTTCTGCCACGAGCCCAGCGTTCTTTATTATTTAAGGTTTGCTAGTGATGAATCACTGATTTTATTAAAGGGAAACCACATGGCCCCATTCACACTTTAGTGCTGCATTGTGTTAATGCATGAGCAGTAATGTATGTTCTATTCATTTTTAATAAGATACCAATACACCATAACCGAGCCAAAATTGGACTTTTCTCGAGCAGAAAATGTTTATTGTGGTTCATTGCAGTGAGAGTGTGTTGACCACTACTCTGTTAGTGAGTTGGGATGAGTTAAAAATAAGTGGCACCCCAAAGCACTGCACCATGGCATGCACTTTGCGTGTGTTGCGGTAATGCACACATTAAACATGCAATTCTACCAAAGTACCACAACGCATACGTGTGAATTGGCCATAATCATTTTGGGGACTATTTTAGTGTTTTGTTTCATTTTCTATGTTTTAAAACAGATATACAGTATGTATTTGTTTTACACATTATAAAGGGTTCCCTAAGCCTTATTGGGTTAACTAAAGAGACAGCATAGCAGTGGGAGGTTGCTTTGATGGCTTATAGTGTAGACAGGTTTCTTTCAGCACATCTGAGTAAAGTACTGGAGACTAGTGCTTCACCGGCCGGTTAATATAAAGACTGCATGCTATCAATATGCAATATTACATATTTATTCAACTTTTTATCTAAACCATTATTATAATAAGTCAACTATGTACATAACCACTATACAATACTTTTAGTAATTCACCTTGATTCCTACACTCACTCCTGCTAACTTCCTGAAAAACACATATGCACCCCTGCAAAGAAAATATTTGTATCCATGTGCATTTGCCTTTACCACCTGCTGCCATTCGCATTATAAATAATATACATTTGCAGAATGAATACCCCTGAATGATCATGATGAATGCTTAGATTGACCTTCTTTAATACATATGGCCCTCAGTGTATTTCTTTATATGACCTATATATGATGCATATGGATTTCCCCAGAACCAGTTTTGTTATATCACTTTGCATTTAAAAAGAAAAAAAAGTAAATAATCAGTCATCTTGACAAATCTTTGATCAAAGGGGTTAAAATAACTGGCTGGTTAGGGGGCATTATTGGTGACCTCTTCTCAGCCCCTGCATCTGGCCAGGGATGTTCTATTATGACAATGAACACTGTGAATTTAACTCAATTTTCCCATTCAAACAACCACATCTAAAGTGTCAACAAGGCGCTATGTTGGCGGCTAATAATTAAATTGTATCCCAGCCATTCAGGACAAAATCTAATTGTTGTGTTTGCTCTGCTGCTGTTCTCTGGGACTCTGGGATGGCTTGTCATACAGGGAATGCTAAGTATGTTATACTCCATGACACATTGCTGGCCTGAAAGGGACATTAGCATCTCATCATTGCTTCCGAAGCCTCATTTTGTATGCTTGAAATGTAATCTGTTTTTTGTTGATTGTGTATATGACTTAAACTAAAGGAAAACTTAGGGTCTTGCCCATTAAAATCTGTGATAGGGAATGTGGGTGGGTCAATATTATTATTACGGTTTTGCATAGTTGTCTGCATATTGTTTAAAGCGACACTAAACTCAAGAGTTATTCTTAAAAATGAATTCAAGTATCTTAACTATTAAGAAAAATGTAAAGTGCATCACTCAGCTGTAGATCCTCAAATCATCTCTGAATTCCTGCTGATACTGTCCTCCCTTCTGGAGGGTGACTACTTTTGTTCCCCATGGTCCCTGTGTGTGTTGTAAAGTAGTCACCGCTCACTTCCGTGATGGACTACAATCTCACGTTTAGTTTACTAATTTGCATTGAGATTGTAGTCCATCCCAGGAGTGAGCTGTAGTCCATCCCAGTAGCTTTGGCCGATCCTTCGGCTAGCTTCAGCCCCAGGACCCCTTCGGTTCAATAGTAAACTAGCATTGTACCCGCCCTCTGCTGCAGTTCCCCATCAGGTCCATCAGCAGAGGGCGGGTACAATGCTAGTTTACTATTGGCTATTGCAAATTGAAATAGCCAATAGTAATGTCCCAATGCTTTTCAATGGGAAAATTCTTTTTTTTTTTCTATTCTGACATCGCTC